TGCATGGTTAGACGTGAGACGTACGATCATCACATAGTCTTGAGGGCATATCGTGTATGGGACATTCGCCCACGACGTGCAAGTCATGAACCATGTGGTTCACATCGAAGTCATGACTGTCATGATTGCCACTGCGTTGCACACGTCAGCAGCAATAACCATGTTGGCCAGGTGTTTAGGGTTCAGTCAGTCTATGCATTCATGATTCCATGATGTGAAGATGCCTCCATGCTGCCCGGTTGCATCATTCTGGTGGCACGTGTCTGCTTCTCGGAATAGTAAGCACAGCTATCGACTATTGACTATTGACTATTGCTGCTTCTTTCTCATTCATCTCGGTTGTCGGAGTATCTTGGGTGTTGGTTGCCAGGTGAGACCCGAGATGGCATACAACCAGACCGACTACATCCCATCATCAACAGGACCGACGGCCACACCCGAGATGTCGCACAGCCAGAACGACGACATCACAACACCAGCGGGGGCGACGGCCGAGCCCACGATGGCACAGAAGCAGAACGACGAGGCATCGGCAACCACACCTGAGATGGCACGTAACCATCAGGACGACGACATCCCAGCATCAGCAGAGGCGACAGCCAAACCCACCATGACCATGGCACACAAGCAGAACGACACGCTATTGGCAGTGAAACCTGAGATGGCACACAACGACATCCCAGCATCAGCAGAGGCGATGGCACACAAACAGAACGACACACTATTGGCAGTGAAACCTGAGATGGCACACAACGACATCCCAGCATCATCAGAGGCGATGACAGACAAGCAGAACGACGAGGCATTGGCAGTGAAACCTGAGATGACACACAACCAGGACAACCACATCCCAGCATCAACAGGGGTAACGGTAACGGCCAAACCCACGATGGCACACAACCAGAACGACGAGGCATCGGCAGTGAAACTTGAGACGGCACACAACCAGTGCGACCCGGCATTGGCAGCGGCGACGGCCAAACCAGAAAACGACATTGCCGTCAAGCCTGAGATTCCTGAGATTGCACATATGCAGAAAGACGGTGTAGTGGAGGGCGCCAAACCTGATATTACACATAGCCAGAACAACAACCCATCATCAGTAGCAACGGCAGCGGCGGGACCGTGCGTACATGCCACCACACGTACTCCCAGCCAGACTCCACATGTGAAGTCTAAGGCAACACCAGCACAATCACCAGGAAGTGTGGCAGCGAAGTCTCCCAGACCTAATACCAATGCCACCAAGACCAGAGCATCACCGCGCGACACGCGCATGGGATTCCGAACCATCGAAGGCATGCGGTGTCTGTTTGGCATCAAAGATGTCCCTCCTCAGCCTCAGTCTGCTCCGGCTTCTCATTATCGTAACGGTATCACAGCATCCGACCCAACCGCTCAATGCAGCCCGAAGCAGCCTGATGCCACTCCACCGCCCACTGACGGCTCACAGGCTGTTGCACCATCCGACCCAACAGCTGGCCAGTGTAATGCCCCAACCGTCGAAAGCATCCGGCAGCTGTTCAGTGCCCCTCCCGCGGCCCCTCCCCCAGAAGCAGCTGAAGGATCCGATGCCACAGACGTAGGATGTCCGGGCAATGCCACTTCAGAGGCTGCACATAGCACACATGCACACAAGCCCATGTCCAAGTGTCAGCCTTCAGCCACACTGCTACAGCGATCCATCGTCCATGACTTGGATGGCATGTTTGACTTTTGGGATTTCAGCTTTGACAAGATGGTCGACGGTATGTCGGAAGATGAACGACTCGACACATGGGAGCGACTGGCCAGATCTCTCGAAGACGACAGCTTGTCAACGGCTTACTCAGGTGTACGTGCCCCAGAAACGGCAATGTCAGTGATGCGCTACCGGCTTGGTCTGCGACTGGGTAGGGAAGTCAAATGCAACAACCACAACCTGTCTCACGCGATCGAATGGTCGCCCGATGCACAGGCAGAGTGCTTGCTGTCTGCCCGGCACGAGGGGGGTGGATGTGTGTTTGGTAACATCGCTGATTTCTTCAGGAGCGAGCTCAAGGACTCCGTGATACCACAGCTCCTTGCGAAGCCTGCTATGACTCTTGAAGTTCTTCAACCATTGCTCCGGACCAATCGGCTGGTGCAGACAAGTGCACATTGCCTAGTGCATGGCCGCACTTGTTGTCTAAAGACCTGCAATCGGCACATTGCAGGCACCAGTTGCCGGCCTTTTTCGAAACGGGGTTCCGGGCTAGGATGCAATGACCAGGAGATCGTTTACTTTATGGCATGGCTGGGTTTGCGAATGCTTCTGCAAGAGCCAGATGTGACACAGGAGAACGTGGTGGGGTTTCCTCCGGATGTCATTGAGCAGGCAGTCTCCAGCATATACTACATGGAGGTATGTGAACTGGATGCTGTACAATTCGGCTGTGCCTGCGCACGCCGGAGGCAGTTTATCCGCCTGCGACACAAGGAGAAGGTCCTTGGTGAGATCTCCCCGTTGGCCCGGTTCTCGACACGCTTCTTCAGGGCCGTGAAGTATCACTGGTCGGAGCAACTCGTCAGTCGAGATCGTCGCACCGGGCATTCACTCACTCGTCCACTCATCCACTCCCCCGCTCCATGTAGCATGGACACATACTAGCACACGTGGTTACCATCATGCATGTGGTCATGTGAGTCATGCCCAATCAATCAAAGCTCGTCATGCAGACTGAATTGTCGGAGTGCAAGGCATTAATTCGCTGAATCAACGCGGCACATGTCATCGTTCATGTCCATGTCAGCTCATGTGCCATGAATTGGTTCTGTTAGTTGGTCCATGTCATTCTGCATGTGAGTCCTGAGTCCTGTGCCACAGTGTGCATGTGACATGTGGGTGCGATGTGTCATGCGACATGCGAGTCAGCCCTCTTACATATTGTATACTTCCATGATCCGTCCAGGTACTTCTACAGACACAAAATCCTGAGCGATCTTCCGGTGAAGAACGAACTGCTGCAGGAGCTGGAATGGGCTTGTAGGCGACCAACCAGCCAGGCTGTTGACTTTGGCCTTGATCAATTGGAACCGTCGGATGTGCTTCGCCCAGAGGTGTGGCTTGCTGCCCTGAACACAGGAGAGGAATCCATCCGATCATCCTATGAACTTGTTCACCCGAACCAGGTATGGGCACTTAATCAGAACCCGGCCACGGGGTTTGCGAACACATCCACCGACCGGCACTTACAGACCATCATTGCCAACCTACACATGCTTTGGACCCAACATTCATCCGTTGTCCCTGCCCGGTGGCTCATGGGCAGTGAAGCGCTGGTGACGCAAGCCTTCCCCATAGTTCCTGGTCTGTGGGGAGTATCACCAGATGACACGCCGGTTCTTTGCAGCTTCAACCTTCCCAGGGAGGGACGGACGTCACGATCTATGATGGCTCAGGCTGGGAACAGCATGAACATCATTGTCATGACGATTGTGAGCCTACATGGCTTGCTTTCCTACGAGCAACGACAGCTGCCAGACATCGTGGCAAACATCCGTTTGTCCCGCCGTGCCATGCGGACAGTACTGGGGCCGGGGTGTTGTTTTTGGTTGTTCGGAGCCTCACTAGAATTGCTTTGTTTGTCTTCGTAGTAGTGAACTTGTGGACACACGGGTCCAAGCATTGCTACATGTGTGCAGGATGACGGACCGGCGCATCCGGAACTTCGACGACGAGCCACCTGTGAAGAGGTTGCGCTTCCGAGTCAATGGCAAGAGCACGGCACGCGCTGACATGTATGCTTGATGTTCAATGCGATCATGCTCATGGCCATGGTCCAATGAGTCCAATGGTGGATCGCCGGTTCTGTCGTGTGGGCAAACCATACGCACGGCATGCCACATGTTACCGCCACGTACACATGACATCTGACATGAGTCTGCCATGTTGCCATGATCATGATAGGCCCTGATAGGCTTGAGGATTCATGCATGAGCCAGGTCATGAATCAATGCACAAAGTTTGTCTTCGATCATAGTCACATGAGTCACATGAGACCAACGATGTCAATGCACACGACGCGACGGCAGTTGCTCACTGTCATATACATCATGGCTCATGACCCGTGATTTGTTTCCATTCACATGCAAGGACTGTTCAATGTCATTGAGTGGGATATTAATGTGTTCACTGCATTTACATCCATGGAGTCCATCGAACAGTGTGCATTTGCCGACTGTGTAGTGCAGTATGATGCATGCATGCTAAGTGTGCTGCATCCTGCACTGCACTCGTGCTCTGCATCGTTTAATTTGGTCGTCAGACATGAGCCTTCCGTGGCACATGTATAGAACGGCTGGTGGGATCTCACTATTTTGTGATTCATGAGTTATATAGATTTGCATTGTTAAATATTTAGTTTGAGTGAGTTCACACCACAGGGGAACATGACCATAGGGACCATTGGCGACGGCCATGTCCACTTTGGACCGTTTTGGGGCTCAAGTATTGGGGATGTGATTTGCGACGACCACACACAACCAGAACGACGCGACAAAAGTGGACACCATGCCTAGACCTTGCAGTGAGTGACTCTGCACGAGCTTGCGTCACAGCGTCACATGTATTGACAGGCGAAGCATTGCTTGCACTGGGCACTGAGGCCATGCTTCGAAAACAATCTGTTGGAGATCGGAACGGCAGAACGTCGGAACGGGGTAACCAGGACCATCAGCCTCTGGTGTGATGAAGAATCAAGTTGTAGTAGTGTCATGTTGTGTGTTCTGAGGACATGTGAGATACCACGTGAGCTCGCGATCACCTGGCGAAGGGGTAGCTCACCTAGCATGACCTTGTTTGCCGAATGATCTGCAACATGCATTACATGGCGGGCGGGGCAACAGCATTTCCACACATCTTCACATGTCTTCATGTCATAGAGACTTGCTGACTTGCTGTGTGTCGGCTCGCAACCTACAGCTTGTCCTGTCGCCCTTACGCGACTTGTGACATCCGACCTTCGACTCGCCACCGTCAC